GCTCTTAATCACCCCACTTTTGTAAAGTCGTTCATCCTCTCAGTAAGGACAGAGAAGGAGTACTGCTGTTGTCTTCTGGTCAGGAAGGAGGAAACAAAGCACCAAGAGGCTAAGTGAGTGGTCAGGACCATATTCAAACCCGGGACTCTGGGCTCCCACTGCATCTGCTCCCACGTCCTCAGAGGACTCAGCACAGTGATGAAGGCCGTCCTGAACGGATGTGTGAATGTTCACATAGCAAGATCCAGTAGACCTGTGATAAGATTTGAGTATAACTCCCAATAAGGATGAAAACATTATATCTTTTGATAATTTCAGGACTCTGAAACACAAAGTTGCTTTCCTACAGGGCTGGAGATAGTTTTTCTGGCAAGAGAGTTTCTTCTTTACTTGGAATGTTTTAACATAAGAGAATAAAGGCTCTGGAGCTTTGCTTCTTTACAAGGTGCAGAAGTGTCCAACCTCTTGACACTACAAGGTGACATTATCATTTATGAACGTGTTAGGCCAAGTTCAGAGCTCTGCTGGAATCCATGGGGTCCATGGGCTGCAGGCTAGACACAGCTGCTGGGGGGTGAGAGAAGCTGAAATACTAAGGTGGAGGTTTGCTGTCTGCTGGGACAGCACAGGTAGAACGTGGTTCCCAGCAGTGGGAGCTTGTGGCAGCTCTGCAGATATAGGGTAGGAAATGGCAGAGATGCCTTCCCCTGACTGCCCCTGGACTCAGGTTATCTAAGAAATGGAGTACCTGCCAGATAATAGGGAGACTCCTTGTTTGCCCCTGAGTTCAAGACAGCCAAGTTTGGAGGAAGAAAGATGTGACTAACAGAAACAAAATGCTTGTTAGCTATGCTTTACTTAAACCAATGGACGATTTTTCTTTGTGTGTCCATGTGTATGTGTGTGTGTGTGTGTGTGTGTGTGTGTGTGTGTGTGTGTGTATGTGTGTGTGCACTTGCCCACCCATGTGTTCGTGTGCACATATGTGTGTAGGTATATGTGTGGAGAGACCAGAGGTCACTGTCAAATGTTCTTCTTTATTGCTTTTCACCTTATATTTATCTTTATTTCTATTTATGTGTTTGGTGGGTGGGTGTGTGTCTCTGTGCACATGAGTGCAGGTACCTATGGGGGCCAAAAGAAGGTCACAGACAGATTCCCCTGGAGCTAGAGTGACGGGTGGTTGTGAGGAGCCCAGTGTGGGTGCTGGCAACAAAACTACAGTCCTCTGGAAAAGCAGCTAGTGCTCCCCACATTTATACCATCTCTCCAGCCCTCTACTTTATTTTTTGAGACAAGGTATTTCACTGAGCCTGGAGCTTTCTCTGTAGACTCACTAACTGCCAGTGAGCCTCAGGGATACTTCCGGGTCTGCCTTTCCAGTGCTGGGATTACAGGCATGCACCACCACACCTGGCTTTGGAGTGGATTCTGGGGACCCAAATTCAAGTCTTCATGCTTGTGAGGACAACATTTCACCAACTAAGCCGTCTCTTTAGCTCCGAAGGTCTTCATTTCTCATTTTGACCCCACTTTGCCCTCTGCGTAATATAATAAAATATCTAGATTGTATAAACCCTGGCCAAGAGCCACACATGGATGTCCTCAACAAATGAGGTGACACTGGAAACTTGTTTTTCTTTCAATTGGCCTCAGGAAAACAAAGGCAAAATGCACATTTAATTCTCCTAGACCTTTGTTCAAATTTTTTTTTCATCTTTACTGTTAGGGAAGAATTTCAATTAGATTGGTCTTTGCTTTGGCTATGCATTTATAATTTGTCTTCTCATGTTGGCAAAGAAAATTTTGATGAAAAAAAAATTGGGCAGTAATGGAATTTTGTCTGAGCAGAACAGAACAGATTATCACAGCAAGTTGAGGGTGACGGGCATGAAGCAGTGGGGACAGGGGAAGCATTGGGGTGTTGAACAAAGATCTACCCTTCCCAGAAGTGCCACTGTTCCTGCGGGTGTAGGGAGAGGGTGCCAGAGTGAGGAAAGCGCTTAGGTGCCCGCTGAACTTGGCCTTCAGAGTTGTCTGGTAGGTCATTTAATCCTCTACTCCTCGATTTTCTCGTCTGGGGACAATACTATCTACTTTGCACAGTTGTTAAGACAATAAACAAAACAAAAAGCATGAATCCTCAGCCTGGAGAAATGGCTCAGCAGTTAAAAGTGGTTGCTGCTCTCCCAGAGAAGAGAGCTCTCCCGGTTCTCAGTCAGTGCCCACATCACGGGGTCAAATCACCTGTAACTCCAGATCCAGGGCATCCAGTGATCTCTTCTGGCCTCCCAGGACACCTGTTCTCATGTACACACACACACATACACACACACACACACACACACACACACACACACACACACACACACGCACTCACACGGTAGATTTCCTTTGAGCCCCTTGAGAATTCTCCACACTGATTTCCACAGTGGCTGCACCAGATCTCAATCCCATCAGTTGTGAACGAGGGTTCCCCTTCCCCAGAATCCTTTCTAGCATTTACTGTGTTTTCTTGATCTTAGCCATTCTGACTGGGGCAAGATAAAAATCTCAAAATAGTTTTAGTTTGCATTTCCCTAGTTGCTAAGGATGTTGAACACCTTAAAGATATATTTATTTTTTAGACATCTTTTTTTTGATAATTGTTCAGCTATATACCCCACTTTTTAATTTAGTCATTTGTTTTCTTGATTCTTTGTTTTTTGAGTTCTTTCTATGTTTTGGATAATAATCTTGTATTGAATGCACAGATAGCAAAGCTTCTCCCCCACTCTGGGGGTTTCCTCTTCACTTGATCGATTGCTTTCTTTGTTGTACAGAAACTTTTAAATTTCATGAGTTCCCACTAGTCAGTTGTGGCCTTAATTCCTGAGCAAATTATATTATATATTTTTATATATTTATATAAGTCAAATTCAGAAAATCCCTTCCTGTACCCATGACTGTTTTCTTCTAGCAACTCAGCATTCTGTTTTCACAGTGAGGTCTTTGATCCACCTGGAGCTGATTTTTGGGCAAGATGATAACTATGGGTCCAGTTTCATTCTTCCACACTGTGGCCATCCAGCCCAGTGTGGGTGGTACCGTCCCTGGACAGGTAATCCTGGGTTGTATGGGAAAGCTAGCAGAGCGTGAGCATGGGCAAGCTAGCAAAGAGTGTTCCTCCATGTTTTCTGTTTCAGTTCCTGCCCTGACTTCCCTCAACAACTGACCTGCAACTGTAAATCAATTAAACCCTTTCCTCCTCTAATTGCTCTTGGTTGGAGTGTTTTACCACAGCCACTTGAAGCAAGCTAAAATATACAGTGAAAAGGTGACGAGGAACGAGTACCTTGTTTCCTTGTCTCCTCCAGAGTGACTGTGTGTGTCACCTGGGGTCTCTTAGTGTACTTCTTTTCTTTTCTTTTTTTCTGAGACAGGGTCTCTCTATGTAGCCCTGGCTGTCCTGGAACTCACTCTGGCCTCAGATTTAGAGATCCGTCTGCCTCTGCCTCCAACGTGCTAGGATTAAAGGCGTGTGCCATCACCACCTGGCTCTTCTTCCTTTTTTTTTTTTTTTAACATTTTTTTTACACACAATATTTTTATTGATTACTTGGGAATTTCACACAATGTACTCCGATCATCCTTAGTTCCCAGTCCTTCCAGGTCTGCCCCCCCCCCTTTAAGACTGACCTAATTCCCAAAAAAGATTTTTAAAAAGGTCCAATTTATGTTCTGCATACAGTCCCTGGAGCATGGTCACACTCCCAGTGACTGGAAAGGACAAGAAAGCTTCTCCTGCAGTGGTTTTGATGACAGCAGACTCAAAGTTGAGAAAGAGAGACAGAAGGCTTCTGAGACGACCCCCACACTACCCCCGAAAAAAGTAACAACCTAGACAGGAAGCCTAAAAAATTGTGATAAGGATGCTGAAGAGTATGTAGTTCTCCACAACAGATGGCTACAACAGCAAAGGGAAATCTGAGACCCTTTGGCCCGTGGGCCTCAATTCCTTTCCCTCCTTCTGTCTGGGAATTGCCTTTTTCAGGTCACTGTTTTTATGTATTTTACTTTTTCTTAAGATTTCACACACAGGGAGGAGGATGTGGCTCAGTTGGTAAAGTGTTTGCCTAGCATGCCCGAAGCCCTAGGTCCCACCCTAAGTCATAAACCAAGAGTGGTGGGACATGCCTGTAATCCCCGCACTTGGAAGGAGGCAGAAGGATCAGGAGTTCAAGGTTATGCTGGCCTACATGGAGTTGGAGGCTAGCTTGGGCTACGGGAGACCCTTTCTCTAAAAAAAAAAAAAAAAAAAACCGAAGTTCTATTTTTAAAAACTTACTCTTTTATGGCCGAAGGTGACTCAATCTACCTTCCGTTTTTAAAATGTTGATCCAAGCATGGTGACCGCGACAAGGAAAGACTGTTGTCAAGATGGGCAGGGACTAAGAAGGATCTGTTTTTTTCAGACAGTTGCACTTGATTAGCGTGAGCCCCCCTCTCCAGTAATGTCCTATCTAGTAATGTCAGAACACACTTTGACTGTCGGGTGTCCCTCAAAGCACAGGACCGCCCACTCTCTTTTGCTCCCACTCTCATTTTCGATTTAGAGCTGGAAGATGAAATTTCTAAATCTGAGAGGCTAAAACTGTCTCTAAGAACACCTCCACCCTTTTAAGCAGCGGACCTCTAGGACAGCAGGCAGACTCCTGCTCTGGCTCTTGAGTTTGGGAAATAGCTTTCTGTCAAGGATGTGGTTCCATGACCGGGGATCTGGAGCAGGTGCCTTTCCAATCCATCTGCATTCCCAACTGATGACGAATTCTGCCTCTGGGAGAAAGAGTGGTTAGGTGACACAACCAAGCTCTTTAGGGGCCCTGGGCAGGATGGCGAGGCAGCAAGAGCACTGTGCAAGACACTTGGAGTCTTGGACAGGACTCAAAGGGGGTCTTATTAGCCTAGCGGCGGCTGGCTGACTTCAAGTCAGTAATTCATGCAAATACTTGGGTATCCTATAATCTGGGCACTACCGGGAGAGCGCTTGCTCCTCCAGGGCAAGCCACAGCCAAACTAGTTCTACAAGGCAGGGCGTCTCAGACTCCTGAACCAGTGGAGACCGGGTCTCAAAGGCTGGCCTGGAGGCTGCAGCCAGAGTGAGGAGGGAGGTGTGGCTGTTGATTTTCCTGCCACAATCTCTGTGTTGAGTCAGACCCGCGGCTGGGCTGGTCCTGCAGCCCGCTGCTGAGCAGAAGGAGCTGTGGTTAATGATTGACCCGTGGGAGACCTCTCTGCTTCGCTCCTACAAGGCGACCGGGGAGGCCAGTGCCAGGGACCTGGAAAGGAGAGCAGGACCCACAGCCAGGCCAAGTACTGCGGGTCTCGCTCTGAGTTGGGTAGGGAGGTCAGAGCCTCCTTCCCCTGACTGGTCTCTCCTCACTCCAGAGCAGCTATTTCCAAACCACCACCACCACCCACTGGCGCCGCCAGGGATCCTAGGGTGAATTATTCCAGGAAGTTTCAATGAGAAAGCCGAAAAACTAAGTCACCCTTGGCCAGCCAACCCCAGTGACTTGGAAAGTACTGCGCCCACGCTGGTGAGTTGCGGGATTTCTCTGGGAAGAGGAAGAAAGGGAAGTGGAGACATTTGGGAACCTGGCAGCCTGGCTCTTTCTTCCTCATGGCTTCATCCAGTGGCTCCAGCGATGTTTGCTCCCGTGTCATCGATCACAACCAGGTCCCCGACTTTGAGGTGGTCACTTGGATCAAAATCACCCTCTTCTTGGTGTACCTGGTCATCTTCGTGGTGGGCATCTTGGGCAACAGCGTCACCATCCGGGTCACACAGGTATTGCAGAAAAAGGGCTATTTGCAGAAGGAGGTGACAGATCACATGGTCAGTTTGGCTTGTTCAGATATCTTGGTCTTTTTGATTGGCATGCCCATGGAGTTCTACAGCATCATTTGGAACCCCCTGACCACACCCAGCTACCCGCTGTCCTGTAAGATCCACACGTTCCTCTTTGAGACGTGCAGCTACGCCACATTGCTGCACGTGCTGACCCTCAGCTTTGAGCGCTACATTGCCATTTGCCATCCCTTCAGGTATAAGGCCTTGTCCGGACCTTGCCAGGTGAAACTGCTGATCGGCTTTGTATGGGTCACCTCGGCCCTGGTGGCGCTGCCCTTGCTCTTTGCCATGGGTATCGAGTATCCCCTGGTGTCTGTGCCCACCCGCAGAGGATTCAGCTGCAACCTCTCTCGCACCCGCCACCACGAGCAACCGGAGACCTCCAATATGTCCATCTGCACAAACCTCTCCAGCCGCTGGACTGTCTTCCAGTCCAGCATCTTTGGGGCCTTCTCAGTTTACTTGGTGGTCCTGGCGTCTGTGGCTTTCATGTGTTGGAATATGATGAAAGTGCTAACGAGGAGCAAGCGCGGTACCCTGGCGGGAAGCGGGCCACAGCTGCAGATGAGGAAGTCAGAGAGTGAGGAAAGCCGGACAGCGAGAAGACAGACCATCATATTCCTGAGTGAGTCCGGGTCGCGGGCGATCCTGGGGCTTCTGGCCTGAGAGAAGTGAAAACCCGAGTTCATTGAGGCTAAAGAGAGGTAGCTGCATAAGGGCTGGGTGCTCATCGGGGTGTGTGGAGAGACGTCTCTTCTTTGTGTTTAGGAAATCTGTGGTCTGTGACATTGGAAGGTCGGGTACATCATTTCTGTGACTTCAGGCTGTAAACAACGTATCTTGGATGAAAATACTGGGAGATAAGAGGAACAAATTAAGTCACCCAGGACAGACGGGAGTCCTTTGGAAAGGGACATGTCCTTCAGAGATAAAGAGAGTAACTCTTATCTTCTGGACCCTTAGACCAGAGAGCCTTGATCAGGCAGGGAAATTTTATCCCTATTTTTTTTTTTCTCCTCCTTAGAAGAGGCTGGCTTGTCAGGGATCCTGACTCTCTAGATTGCTATTTTGGGCAGGAGTGACCTGCAAGTCTTCAGAAACTGGAGCTCTGATTCGCTCCCTCTGAGATGTACATGATTACTCCCTGCTTGGGGCCATGGATCTGTGGGTCCCTGGAAAGTGAAGCATACCAGAGCTTCCTGTTTATCTGATCCAGGACCTGGCCTCAACATTTCTTAATGCCCCCAATTCTAGGCCAGGGAAAGCTGTTTGCTTCCCAAATGTGGTGGTGATACAAGTATTTCAAATTGAGGACCTTCTCTGGACTTGAGGGGACTATTTCTAGGGGGCCAGTGATATGGAAGACCCCAATGCCTTCAGGAGAGAGTCTTTAGAGATGGCTTGGATGGTAGAGAGCTTGCCCACCATGCGGGAAGCCCTGAGACCATCCCCGGCATTACATAAACTTACTGTGACGTACCATTGCAATCCTAGCCACGGGACGTGGAAGCAGGGGGATTAGAAATTTAAGGTCATCCTTGACTACATAGTGAGTTTGAGGCTAGCCTGGGCTCCATGAGACTCAACAAAAACAAAAATAAAGCAAAACAAAGAGCCAAATTAAGGTCTGGAAAGATGATTCAGCAGTGAAGAGAATTTACTGTTCTTCCAGAGGTCCCTGCTTAGACTTCCAGCACTCTTGTCCAGAAGCTCGTAATTACCTGAAACTCCAGCTTCAGGGGACGTGATGGCCTCTTGTGGGTGATCTCCACCTAACAGTCACACATCCTACATAGACATACACACATATATGAATAATAATAATAAAAGACTAAACAATAATAAAATTATTATTATTTATAAGATAATTAATAAAAGACTAAATAATAATAATAATAATAATAATAATAATAATAATAATAATAAAAGACTAAAACAAAACAACAGAAGATTTTCTTGCTGTCCTTTGGCAGCCAGGACTTTAACTCAGACATGTGTAGTGTGTGTGTCACCAAAGGGTTAAAAAAATTCTTTTCGGCGGAAACAAGGGAAAGGTGACATCATAGGTATGTGAGCCAGAGTTGGGTCAAGGGAGAGTTGAGATTCCGCACATTTTTCTCCTCTTTTTCCCTTTTCAGCATGCTGTCCTGAGAGAAATCAATCCTGGGGTTGTTTGTTTGCTGCATATCAGAGACATGAGCAGCCGGGCCCAGGGCTGGGGTTCAGGCAGGGGTGAAAGGGTAAGGGTCAGCCCTGCCTTTGGCTGAGGTGGGTCAGCTGCTGATTTAGTCTAAGTCTGTAGAAAATGATAAGGCGCAGGCTTGCATGATGTGGGTGGCCGGCCATCTGGCATCAAGGGCTATGTCACTGACCTCGTGGAAGGGTCCCCAGGACACCAGCTGGCGTTTCTGGGTTCTTGTATCCTGGAACAAGCAATTGGATCGAGGACATTTAGATAGTGGTATAAACATAGACAGTTTAGTAAGAAAGAAGTCACCACTCCCAAGGCAATGGGCCAGAGAGTTGGGAAACGTTAGAATCCCCACGGGCTCACATCCCTGGAGCTGGGATCTTTGTGGGTCATTTACATAGTGCTCGCCTACCCCACTCTTGGGTACTGTGCATGTTCTCTGCCTTGCTTGTGGCCCTTGGTCTTCCACGTGTTAATCTTGGTGCCCTTTCCTCTTCTGCCACAGCGGCGCTGGGCGATCTATGTTTCCATTTTATAGAGGAGGCATTTGAGGCTTCAAAGATGGACTGGGAGGTAGCTCAGTTGGTGGAGTCCTTAGCATGTCTCTAGCACTGCCTACAACCGGGAGTGAGGGTGTGGGCACCTGTAATCCCGGAACTCTGAGGTGGAAGCTGGGAGATCAGAAGGTCACAGTTATCCTCAGTTAGCCTAGCCCAGCATATACGACACCATGTTTGAAAACACACAACAGCATCCACAAACCCACCTCATGGCTGGGAAATGGGGGTCTATCCCAGACTTCCACAGTCCTGGTGGAGGAAAATGATGTAAGGCAGGGCATAGGCAAGGAAGGATCAGCCTAAGCTGGCAGGCTGGTGCTCTAGGAGGTGACGTGACCCGGGACACGGCAAGGTGCTGAAGCCAATGCAGTCTTTGTCACCCTCTGTCTGTTGCGCAGAATACCCCAGGAGGAATGGTGATCGTGTGTGCTTGCTTGAACATTTGGGGAGAAACTTTTTCCCCTTTCTGAATCCCCCTGGACTTATCCTAAACGTTAGTTGTAGTTTGTGCTTTAAAGAGTTGATTTTTATTTTCTTAGACTTATTTTTATATGTGTGAATGTGTGCCTGTGTGAGCAGGTGCCCAGAGAGGCCAGAAGAAGGCATTGGATCCCTGGACCTGGTGTTACAGGCATCTAGCTGTAAACCCCCGTCATGGTGTCGGGAACTGAACTGTGTCCTCTGGAAGGACAGCAAGTGCTCTTAACCACAAAGCCACCTCCATAGTCCCTACCTTTTACCCTCCGTTTGACCAATCTCTGTGTCTGTTTTTTCTGTTTCTCCGTGGGGATGACAGTTCATTTTCCAGTAGGGCGTCAGTCTCTATTTAGGGGATATGGTCAGAATACCCCAGACTTTTATTTGAAGATGGACAGCCCCTTGGAGATCATTTCTCACAGTAGTAATTGCTGCAAATGAGTTCCTCCTCACCTTTCTCTCCTTCCCTTCTAGACTCCTCTTTTTTCGTTCTAACAGCTCTGTATTAATCACCTACTGGCTCCCAGCATAGAGATGGCTGACTGACAATCAGGTACTCAGTGTGTGAGAAGAGCTGGAGAAATTTACCATGTGCATTAAGCCCATCCTCTCTGTGGTAGGTTTTCAATGCAGTGCTTGCAAATGCCACCACCCCTCCCCAGTGCGTTTCAAAGAACTTTTAAAAATAGGAACCTCACTAATTAACTCCAGTTAGGGAGTAAATTAATGGAGTGAAGAGGAGGAAACCATGGCTTGCATCCATCAGATTAATACGATGCAATTTGCTTTGTGGGTTTCATAAACTTGTGCTTTGGGGCATTTTTAACCCGGAACAAATGAACATATAAATTGTTTACAAACCACTGAATTTAATATAGTGATTTAGCTGTCTTTTTAGTATTTCATATAACAGATGGATCAAATGAAAATAAATATTTGCTCAATTCAAACATATTTCGAATTTAATATGAAATGTAAATGACGGCAGAACACAATATGTCTTTGGAGCACTTGAGGCAATAAAAAATCAATTAAGGGTTCCCTTCTCATTGTTAAAAATTCTAACTTCTGTATAATGGAGCCAAAATTCATAAACCCAAGTGAGATGAGGAAGCCTTTCTGGAGATTATTAATTTTCTTTTCTGCATATTTTTGCAGTCACCCCTCCACTGTACTGAGGTGCTGGGCTGGTGAATAATGAGAACAAATGAGGGACTCTGGGAAAAGAAACAGTGCTGAGATGCCTAATAGGTCGAAAGCAATGTGCAGGATAAACCCTAATAACGCAAAAGTGCCTATTCCTGAAAACTTTCGTCTGCCTCCCGACTCCTTCCCTCTCTCCCTCCCTCATTCTTCCCTCCCTTCCTTCTTCCCATCTGTGTGTGATGTGTATGTGTGAACATACATGGCCATTCACATGGGGCACTTAGATGCAGGCAAGCACTCATATACATAAAAATAAATACATTTTTAAAAGATGCACATAGATATAATTTTTGTGGTCCTTCAGAAACCTTTCAAGGCAGCAGCTCCATGTAACTTCCAGGGTCCATTGGAACACAGAAATTGAGCTGTAATCGGGCACAGAATTTCATGAAATCGATGAAAGGGAACTAAAGAAACCCATGAATCAAATGTGTCCAGCCACTAATGATGATGAGAGTCTATCTGACTTTTAGACCAGGTAAATATGAAGGGGCAGAGCAATGACGTGGATAACCCCATGACAGGTACTTCAGCAAGGGTTATCTTGATGAAAAACACAAAGGAAACCCTCTGGAGAAAGCCAGTCTATAGTATATTTGTTAAAATATTAAGTGTGTGTGTGTGTGTGTGTGTGTGTGTGTGTGTGTGTGTGTGTGTGTGTGTTTACATGTGCCTCGGGAAGCTAGAAGAGGACATTGGATGCCCTGGAACTGAAGTTACAGGCAATCGTAAATCAATTTATGGGAGTCAGGAGCTGAACTTGGATCTTCTGCACAAGCAGCCAGTGCTCTTAACCCCACAAACATCTCTGTAGCTTCTATTTGAGACAGGGACTCAAGTAGCACAGATCGACCTTGAACTCACTAACGGTGATCTCCAGTTTCTGATCCTCCTGCCTCTGCATCCCAAGTGCTGGGCTTAAGTGTGCACCCACCATGCTCAGTTTCTGTAGGGCTGGAATTGGAATCCAGGCCTTCCTGCGTTCTCAGCAAGGTCTTTACCAACTGAGCCACATCCCTAGCTCACTGTAAGCACATTTTAATAGTTGTTTTCTTGACTAGTTTAATTTTCCAAGCAAAGACATTTTCTGTGGTGTACAATGATCTATCAACCCAGTCTCTCAGGAAATATCATCAAAATTAAATTAGTGACTTCTTAGTGTAAGATAGTATTTTGATTCAAATGCTTGAATATATCAGGAGAAAGTTTTACCTCAAGTATTCAGATTATTGCCACTCTCTCTCCTTCCCTTTATTGATGTAGATGTGGCTATAATAAATGATATCTCCTGTTTATTTTTTCTATTTGTGAAATCCATCATAAATTGCAAATTTCCTGCGATCAGCCTGGTAGACAAATACAATAATGCTGCTTTATTTGTATAATCAGGCTGTCTCGGAGATTTCATTTCTCTGTCGGAGACATGCACAGCATTTGAGGAAGGGAATATTGGAATCCTAGGCCCCCTTCATTAGCATGCCTGTTTGTCTGTCTTTGTTGCATGCTTCATGGGGGCTACCAGAGTATGATCAGGGTGTAGGTGGCTTGGTTGAGCAAAGCATCCCGCTTATTAATGCCCAGACTGTGCCGAGTAAAACCCATGTATGAGGAGACAACACATGAGCAGAATATTAAATTGGAAGTTTAGGAGTCTTATCCTATTTCCTGGACAATGACCCCTGATCTACCACTACCAGCTCTCTCTGCCTTTTCTTTCTTTGTTTTTT